TTGCAAACAGGCTAGATTTATTCAATTCACTGAGTAAATGTGATATTAAGAAGTGTTTATAGAATATATCTTACCATCAAAATCAAGCCATTCTGTTAGTCCTACATGATATAATGACGTTCATGCCGTAAATTAAAGATTAATATATGTATATATTTGTTTTAGCTCAAAAAGCAAGAGGCAGCACATGGATTAGCTGGACAGATTTAAAAAAAAAAATTGTGTTCATTTCACTCACAGACAAAGATAGCTGTTAGGAAAAGTGATGAAATTCCACTGGATTCTGGGTCTGAGCTCCAAGAATCCGGGGGACAGCGAGTCAAGAGCAAGCAACTTCAGGCCTCCTTTTTCCTTTGGATACTGAAATGGGAATGTGTGGAGGGTCCAGCCCCCCAAACCAAAACCAAAACACCAAAGAAGAGCAATCAACCTCCGCAGGTGGTGCAGGTGAGAGTTGGGAAACCCATGGGGGACTGGGAGGATTAGCATCTGGTCCCCACCAAGTCAGAGTCTGAGTTCAAAAGAACCCAATACAAACATTTCAAGAGACATACAAATCTGGCTGTTAATGTGAAGGCGCCTAGTTTTAAATTTCAGGAACCAATTTTGAACTTTTCAGCCTGTGGGATGGATCCCGACCCCGGGAAACTGCACCCTCCGTGGAAGAAGGTTTTTTGGATCTTATAAAAGTGAAAATGAAGGCTACACTAGCAGCTTCATTATGGGCTTGAGGGCCTTAGATGCCACAACTGCCCCCTTCTAGCAAGCGAACGTCAAGTGTGACCTCTGTCCAGCATCACCCTGGGGTTCTCTTCCACCAAAGACCACAGTTCCTGGTCATCGTCTTGTCCCCTGGGGCTGCCCGACTTCTGGTTTTTGCCTGTGTTCCCATGAAGTGTCAATCTGGTTGCCCAGCTTCTCTGTGTCCACTCAGATGTATCCAGGAAATGGACTGAAATGTGTGCTGGGCAGGTGCTTGTGATCTGTGTTTTGTGGGCAATGCAGGAGCTATTGATTTAAGCGGACGCCATGAAACTTTGAAAAGACACACAGGAGAAGACTCGACCATGGCTGGAAGGCAGAAGGTACCATCTCGTATTTGGAGATACTGCGCATTGTTCAGCCCAGGTCATAAATGCTGGGACTGAGCTATGTCATATGATGAAGATAGACTTGGCTGTACAATCGTGGAGATTTGGGTTCTAACATGAAAACCAACACAACCGTGTATTTTCTGAGTGACCTAGAGCACCTCCCTTCCCATCTCTGGTTCCATGAAATGCAAAAGCAAATCCAAAAACAAGACACCAACAAATAAAAACAAACAAACAAACAAACAACCCTTGGCTTAATGAAGTCAGTGAGTTCCCAAACCAGTCAGCTACAAATGGGTTTTGCAAATTCCCAGCATATTTCTGAGCCACTGTATTACTGTTTCAATATTTATACTGAAAGATCACTTTGAAAACTTTAATAGTTATCTTTAAATGAACTTCTAGATCTTGCTATATGTATTAAAGTGACACACATCGACACACATCAGTGTGCTTGTCAGGTTCTAACAGGAAGAAATGGAACATTAAGATGAGGTCATTTCAAGGGGATTGTTTTAGTCAGATTTTCTTTTTTTGCCACTGTGACCAAAAAACCTGACAAGAATAATTTTAGAGAAGGAAAACTTAACTTGGGGCTCACAGTTGCCGAGATCTCTGTCCACAGATGGCCGACTCCATTGCTGGGCCACAGGAGATGTGGAAGGGTGTGGCAGAGAAGGTGGCACCAGGAAGCTGAGAGAGGGCTCTGCTCACCAGGAACAAAATGTGCACCCCAGAGGGACACCCCCAGTGAGCTACCTCCTCCAGCCACAGCCACCTGCCTACAGTCACCACCCAGCTAATCCACTCAAGTAGATTAATGCAGGCATTGAATCAAGGCTCTCATAACCCAATCCTTCACCCTGAACTTCCTTGCATTGTCTCCCAGATGAGCTTTTAGAGGACACTTCATATTTATACCATAGCAGGGTTTGATTGACAGGTCCCATAGCTTGGATGCTACAGACATGATGCCTCACAAGGTCCCCAGGAATGAGGGAGGGAGAGGTCCTGAGAATGTGGAAGGAGAGCAGGTGTGCCAATCGGCCACCAGGGGACACAGCCCGCCTACAGTGGGCTTCCCTGGAGAAGTCAGGGGAGTGACCTCTGACCACACTCTCCTTTCTTTTGGTCTAGCCTGTGGTCCAAAGCCCCAAGGAAGACAAAGAGCCTGGAAGCTCCTGGTGTGCATTGTGGTTGTCCTCCCAGGGCAGAGGGCGGGTTGCAGAAGGGTGGGAAGCCAGGGGGCATCCAAGAGCAGAGGTCCCAGCAGATGGTAGCTGGGAGAGGTGTGTGGGTGCTGCTCGGACCTTGGGAGCCACTCTATCTTTGCAAAAAGGCAGAGAAACCAATGTCAAAAATGTAACCATGTAAAACAGATTGTCTCCACGGTGAAATCAAAATGATCAAAGAACCGCATCCTCACTATGTGACACAGGCTTCTGAATGCCATGTTCATGGCCATGTGTGCCCTCAGTTTGGGAAATGCTGGGCTTTGTGATCTCTAAGTTCTACCTCATATCCCTTGCCCTCTTCTATGGCATATAAAAATATGGTAGTGAGATAACCCTTTCTACACTACTAGAAATCTTGATCATAAGTTGGAATAGTCCAGGTCCCAAAACATCTGGAAAGAACTGGAAACGATCCCCAACAGTTCAGGGTCTTTCAGAGAATTACATGGGATAGCAACGTGCTACCGTTCAACAATACATATGGCTTCCTTCATGATGTGAGACACTTTTTACTCAAACTATAATCATTCTCTTTTCTCCATAAAAATCTGCACAAGGACCTGGGCCTTTTTCTCTGGCTTCAGACATTGAAGATGACTGCATGGGAGCCGCTTAGAAGGGATCACATTAGAGGTCTGCACAATAAAACAGCTTGGAGTCCGTGATGGATCCATTCATAGATGTTTATGAGTGTTGGGGTGGGTCAGGTTTAAAAAAGTATAGGCTCCTGCAAGCCTCAGAATCAATCACTGCTCCACCTGTCCCTCCCACACTGCTGCCCCATCTAGGGACTGATGAGCACCTTTTCCCAGACCACACTAATCACTGACTCCTGACATATAGGCCTTTCTTTCTGCATTGCACACTAGCAAATCCATTTGTGCCTCAGGGCCTTTGCACTTCTGGACCACTTTCTAGGTGACTCTTTCCTAGATCAAAGTTCAACAAACTATGACCTGGGACCAGATTTGTGCAGCTGACTGCTTTTGTAAAGTTTTATTGGGGTCAGTCCGCACTCTCCATGAAGTATTGTTTATGGCATCCTTCACAACACAGTGTCATTCTGACAGACCGGATGACCAGCAAAGCCAACCATATTTACTGTTTGGCAATTTACCAAAATGCTTGCTGTCCCCTGCCCTAAATTATCACGATTGACTTTTTTTTCCAAGCACAGGGCTTAAAGGAGCTGCCTCCCAACAGATGCCTCCCGCAACACCCCCCTCTCCCTTTCACATCTCCACGTGAAACACCCCATGAGGCTTCTTTGTGGGATTATCTGATTTCTTGAGAAAATACAGAAATGTAATTTTTAATGTCAAATTCCTCTCCTTTCCCACACATACTGAGAGAAAATGAAGAAAACATTTAAGACCAAAATGCATATTCAGGCCATATTGCACCAGCAGCACCCTGTGTGCGAGCCCTGGCCCCTGGAGGCCAGCACCAGCTCTGCTGGGCTCAGCAAGCACCCTGGTGTTCTTGGTCTGACCCCTGAAAGGGCAGAGGGGAGGGGAGAAGATGCTGCTCTGTGTCCTGATTACAGCCAGCAACCAAGGGAGTGACTGCAGGTGAGTCCTCCTCCCCAGAATCGCACACCAAGATGGCCATGGCCCAGGCCAGGGGGAGGAATGGGAGGCAGGCCCAGCTCCTCTGTGCAGCCCCAGGCTGTGGTGGACATCCAGGGTCATCAGCAGACTCAGCCCCCATCTGTGTCCCCCAGCAGCCTGGATGGACCCTTCCTGCCCAGCAATGCAGGCACCCGGAGCTCCCCCGAGATGGAGCTCAAACTCAGCCAAGAGCCATGTCCCCTGAAAGGCCAGCTCTTGTCCCTCCATCCCCCAGTCGCTCTGTAGCACCGTTCTGGCCACATTTGGTTTTCTCTAGGACCAGGCATCGTCTGCAAGGCACGGGGTTGGCATCCAATCAACACTCCTTGGTTGAATGAAGGGCATCAAATGGAGGCAGGTAAAAGCCAGGTCCTGCTGAGTCCCAGAGACTGCGCTTACAGCAGTGCAGGACCGAAACCCCAGGTCTCTCTCCTGCCCAGGGACTCACTGAACCAGCAGGGTCATCAGAACCTGTTTCCTCTGTTCAGAGCAACTCTGCTCTGCCTCCCAACTGTGCCCATCACTTCCCCAGTGCAGGACACTCTGTGTGCTTATGAGGGAGCACTGGTCACCATGTTCTGGTTGGGACTGTGGGGATGGTCTTCTCAATCTCAGCAATTGTGCCATTTCTTTAATTATCAGGCCAATGACTGGGTTCTCCTAATTAAAGAAGATTGTGCAGTCAGCTTTCAATTTTGAACTCATGGAAAGAAAGCTCTCTACTGGGCCTAGAAGCAGTGCATCAGCTGGTTTATTCTCCTAATGGAATTTTACCCTCTGCTTCCACTTGTAATTGAGACCACTCTTTATTAAAGGCAGGCCTGTCTGGTAGTAATGGAAACATCGCTGCTCACCTGGAACACTCTTGCTGGAGGCTCCTATGTGCATGGTGTGACTGGGCCCCACCTCCTTGGTACCTAAGAATACAGAGAATAAATGATTTAAACCTCATGAGGTCAACTGGACTCACAGAGTTTAGGGAAGTAAGCCATGCATGTGGGCCACCCAGAGGGCTTGCGGCATGAATCCAGGGTGTTATAATGTCAAGCTTTCTGCCTTTAATAATTAATGGACTGAATCATGCCAGTAAACAACACAATTTTCCAAAAATTTTTCAGGAGAAAACTTTCCTCTGCAATGCACATCTAGTATGTGACAGAGCCCACGGGAGCTTTGAGCTTTAGAAGGAATAGCTACCCCATGCACAGCCCTAAGGGAATGGGTAGCCTATTTTATTTTAGCATTAGCATCGCATGAAGAGGACCCCCGTGATAACTTGCATGGCAGTCTCTTTTGCTCTTCCCAACCCTGTGTGAAACATATAATGAGCGTCGGATTTCAGAGATGAGAAAGCAGATGCTCCGTGGTGTTAACTTGCCTAAGGTCTCACAACCAGTGAGAGCCCAGGAGGACATCCAAATCCAGAGCCCTCAACTTGTGTCCAGTGACTCTTGCACTTCACCACCTCCCCAGAGGACCCATAAATCTGAATCCCATTGCTATTGGTGTGTTTCAGGAGGGATCTGCTTAATGCATTTAGGGTGAAGTAATTGAACCATATTGGGGTGTATGTAGGTTCCTAAGATGTTTTTTTAAAATATTTACAACCAATTGGGGAAAATGGTGAGGCAGACCTAGGCAGCCACCCTCAGTGTTTCCACAGCCCAGAGATGAAGCAGCGAAAGCACAGCTGACCAGAGAGCCTCTGTCTGATTTAGGCAAACACAGGTCAATGATGGACACCCTCTCTCTGTCATTGTGAAGGGTAAAGCCCTGTGAACTGCAGCAGCCAGGTTGGAGCCCCTGTGCCACAGACGTCCCACAGAGAGCCTGCACCCACAGGACCCACAGTTGCAGAGAGCCACCAAGTGCTTAGATAACATTCTGCAGACAAGTGGCAGCAAGGTGAGCAGGCGGTCAGTGATTCAGCAGTAAGAGCTCAGACGCAGGCTCCAGCACCTCAGGGAGGATGCGCAGCTGGACGTCCCAGGGTTGCCAGTTCACTCAATTCTCATTGAAATGCACAGGTCCACAGAAGGCATTTTCTGAGGATAAACCCACATAGTCTGCATGGGGAACCTCAGGCACCCAACACTATACCTCATAAAGGGGCTTACAGAGGAGCACATGTTGGTGCAGGAGACTCACTTTACAGACAACGCATTCATGGACTGAAGGTAAAAGGGTGAAAAAATTGTGCCATACAAATAGGGAACAAAAGCAAGCAGAGATAGCTACTCTCACATCTGACCACTAAGAATTTATACCAAAATTATTCAGAATAGGAAAAGAATGTCACTGTGTGCTGGTTAAATGAATCATCCAAAAATAAGATGTGATCATTGTAAATATTTGTGTCCTAAACACAAGTACATCTACATACATAAAACACACCCTACTCAACATAAAGAATCAAATAGACTACAAAACAATAAAACAGGGTGATTTCAACACACTTATTTCACCACTGTATAAATCATAAACTATGTAAACTCTCATCAGAACTTAAAAAGTTCTCTTAATCAAATGGACCTAACAGATGTCTACAGAATATTCCATTCTGATTGTGCTTTCCTCTCAACATCATATGGAACTGCTCTTAAATAGATCATATTTTAGACCCTAAGCAAGTCTTATCAGATACAAAGAATAAATAATTCCTTGCATCCTAGAATAGAATGGAATTAGAAATCAATGACAAGACAAAATGCAGAAACCATTTTAACTCCTGGAGATTAAATAATACTCTATTAAATGAGGAATTGATTATAGAAAAAATCAGGGGTAAAGTAAAAATTCTTGGAAAAATGAAAACAGAAATACAACTTATCAAATCTCTGGGACAGTATGAAGGCAGTTCTAAGAGGAAAGTTGATAGCAGTTTGAAATCCAGAGGCTCACTAGGAGTTATTTTGAAATTTTATACACCAATAAGCTGAAAAATCTAGAAGATGTTGAAAATCTGTAGAACATATAACCCGACCAAATTGATCATGAGGATATAGCAAACCTAAACCGACCAATGTCAAGCAATTAAATTGAAGCAGCAGTTAAAAGCCTTTCAACAAAAAATGTCCAGGGCCAGTTGGATTCTCAAAAAAGATCTAAGAGACCATTTATTTATGTAAATACTGGGGGTTGAAGCCAGGGGTTTTACCACAAAGCTACATCCCAGATCTTTTTTAAATATTTCTTTTTTTTTTTTTTTATTTTGGGTCAAAGTCTTGTTAGGTTGCTTAGGGCCTCACTGAGTTGCTAAACCTGGCGTCAATTTGTGATCCTCCTGCCTCAGCCTCCCAAAGCTGTTGGGATTACAGGCATTTTTCCACCACGCCTGGCTCTTATACCAGACTCTTAAAGAAAAACTGGTGTCAATTCTCCTCAAATTATCCTATGAAATAGGGAGGGAACATTCCCAAATTCATTCTGTGAAGCCAGAGTCACCCTGATACTTCAAATCAGGCAAAAATTCACATCAAGGAAAAAAAAAAGAGAGAACACTATAGACCAATATCTGTATTGAATATAGATGCAAAAACCCTTAATAGAATATTGGCAAACTGTGTTCAAAAGCACATTAAGAAGATAGCACAGGGCTGGGGATGTGGCTCAAGCAGTAACACGCTCGCCTGGCCTGCGTGGGGCACTGGGTTCGATCCTCAGCACCACATAAAAAATAAAAATAAAGATGTTGTGTCCACCGAAAACTGAAAAATGAATATTAAAAAAAATTCTCTCTGTCTCTTCTCTCTCTCTCTCTCTCTCTCTCTCTCTCTCTCTCTTCTCTTCTCTTCTCTCTCTCTCTCTCTCTAAAAAAAAAAAAAGGAAGAAGATAGCACAACATGATCAAGTGGGTTCCATTCCAGGTATGGAAGGTTGGTTCAACAGACACAAATCAATACATGTTGTTCACCGCAAAAATAGAATTAAGGACAAGAATCATATGATTATCTCAACAGACGCAGAAACAAAGCCTTTGACAAAATCCAGAACCTATCCATGTTAAAAACACCAAGAAACTAGGAGTATGAGGAAGTTATCTCAACCCTGCAAGGGCTATAGACACAGCAAACCCAAAACCAACATCATGCTGGATGGAGAGAACTGAAAGCATTTACTCTAAAACAAGGAACAGACTTTTATGATTACATCAACATGAGCCCCAATATTATGTACAGGTCTAATGCACTAATAGAAAAATCAGTAAAATCATTTACAACCTCAGTTCCTCTTTTGCTTGAGGTTTGTGATTTACATTTACATTTCTATCAGTCTGGATTGTTTTGGTCTAAAACTGACAGTGCTCTTCGACTATAAGCAGAGACAACATAGTAATTCTATCAGATTTTTGAGTGTTCCATGAATGTGCTTTAATCCAAGCTCAGCAGTTGCCTCACCCCTTGATGCCACAAGCTCGGCACCCTGTCCTGTAGAGTGTTACCTGAGAACAGCGTCCAAAGACAATAAACCCAGAACGGGAACCCGCAGACAAGAAAGTCCTAGGACCTAGCCGTGCTGGACATCACTACAAAGATGTGCAGTGTCTACTTTGAAGGAAGGAGAGTTAAGACTATAAATAACCAACAGGCACAACAACGTGTGATTCCTGCACTTGAGGTGTTGGGAGTGCATTTAAATACATTTGTGTCCTGGCTTTCTCCTCCAGTGACTGAACTTGCTGTCCTTGCTGTGACAACTCCCTGGGGACATAAGCTACGCTGGTGGACCCAGGAGCAGGGCATCATCTCGAGCACTGTCTCAACAGAGGCTCCCACAGCAGTGCCCCAGCTTCCAGGAGAAACCACCCTGGGACATGCGTTCTGCTCCCCAGGAGCTGACGGTTCCCGTGAGGTGTCTCAGGAGCTGGCCTGGCCTTGGCTCTGAGCATGGTTCTCCTGTGGACCCAGGGTGCTGCTGGGGCTCCTCAGGCCTCGGCCTTCGGCATTAACAAGACACAAGGCCTGGCCACACCTCCACCTGCTTTTCCCTCCCCTCCTTCCTGTCACTCAGGAGCTACCTAGTCAGGGAGCACTAAGGACTCAGTACTCTGATGGGCTCTGTCTTCCAGGAGCTGAGCAGAAACAAAGAGTGCCGCCATCCTGATGGCATTTGCAGTCCAGTGGCAGAAATGGGCATAGAGCAAGGAGTCAGCAGATGGGTGAACTTACCACTTATGGGACAGAGGACCCCTATGGGTGGAGTCTCATCCAGGAGGGGAGAAGCTGGAGGAGCTGAAGCCTGAGCTGAGCTCTGGAGTGAGAGTCAGTGGCCAGGTGTGAGAGAGGAGAAGGACATGACAAGACAAGGGACAGCAGGTCCCAAGGCGCTGTGGGGAGGCAGACTTATATCTGAGGCTCTGGCTGAGGCCCCTTCCAAGGCACTGAACCCAATCCTGTTCCCACCCACTCTCCCTCCCTCTTTCCTTCCTTCCTTCCTTCCTTCCTTCCTTCCTTCCTTCCTTCCTTCCTTCCTTCCTTCCCAGTTTGTTTCCTCTGAAGGGGGAGGCAATTAGAGTCTGTCTCGGTGACTCATTACTATGACAAGTCTTTTTGTTTTTAATGTAATGTTGGTAAAATGCATGACGCCCATTCACCAGCATAGCTATTGGGGTGTATGGTTGGGTAGCGTGGAGTGCATTACCACCATGGGCACCCCCTACCACCTACCCCCGGGGTCTCCTCGGTCTTGCAGAACTGAAGCTGCACACCCCTGAACAGTAGCTGCCCGTCTCCCACCGCCCAGCCCTGGGTCCCACCTACACACTTCCCACCACTGTGAGTGTGGCCACTCTAGCTAGCGGAATCCACGGCACTTGGCTTCTGTGTCCAGCGTAGTTCACCTCCTGCAGTCCCCTGATGTTCGTCCATGCAGCAGGGACATGGTGGATGTCCACACTTGGCCACTTGGCTGAGGACCCAGGGGTCTCTGGAAAGGGTCCTCAGATCCCTGCACGTCTGTGGTTCCCAACTCCATCTCCCCTTCTCGGCCCCCTCGTCCTCAATGTTCTCTACTCCCCTTGAGACACGGCAAAAAAAGGTGAAGGTTGTCCACTGCAATATGTCCAAACACCTTAATGCACACACATGCATGTGTGTGTGGGGTGTGTGTGTGTGTGTGAGTGATATTAATCTTTTATTTTGCTTAAGTAGAATATTCTTCAATGCTTGAAAGATAGTCCTCTCCTGTGTCCAGCATCTCCTGTGGCAGCCATAGGGCTCACTTCCACCACAAACAACTCAATGCTGGCCAACTGGTGTCCAAGCTCAAGGGATGCTCAGTGGGCCTCATGATCTTGGCACCAACCTCTCTGTGGAGCTAGGACTCCCTCATTGCACAGTGGCTTCTGAGTGAAGGTGTACCTGGAGATCCAGGGGGAAGCCTTCATGATGTGGCCATAGAAGTCACAAGCCATGATTCAGCCAGAACGTGGGCCCCCAGTTCAAGGGAGTGGAAGACAGAGTCCTCAGGCAGAGGAGCATTCAAACCAAATTGTGAGGAGAATATGTCAGGAGTTAGAAGTCATACGGACAACTTTCGAAAATATACCATTCTAAAGGTATTAAAAAGCTCATCCTTTGAAGTCAACCATGTAACTCAGAAACTCAGGGTCTTTAGAAGCAGGAAAACTGTTTCATAGGCCCATTCTAGACTTAATTATGGAGAACTGTGTGGAGCTTTCAAAAAAAGCTAGAAATATCACCACTGTATGGCCAGCAACACCACCACGGGGAAATGACATGTCAGAGAGACACCTGAAGGCCCAAGTTTACCGAAGCATCGTTCCCAACTGCCAAGATGTGAAATCAACCTGGGTGTCCGCTGATGAATGAATGGAGCAAGAACATCCTGTGTATATGCACAGTGGGATGTCAGTTGGTCATTAAAAAAGAATGAAATCTTGTCATTTGTGCCAACATGGATGAGCTTGGGAGATATTATTTTAAATGAAATAAGCCAAGCATGGAGGACAAGGCCAGATGTTCCCACTTATATACGAAAGCTAAGAAAGTCAACCTCATGGAAGTGAGTGGTTTACAGGGACTGGGAAGGGAGTGAAGAAGCGAGAGAGAGAGATTGATTAATGGGCACAGGAGTGCAGCTGGGTGGCGGAAGGTGTCTGTGGTCCATAGCACAGTACAGCAATCACGAGTAATCGTATTTCAAAATAGCCACTGGAGAGGATCTGGAATGTTCCCGAAACACAGAAATGACCAATGTCTGAGGTGACACATGTACCAATTATTCCAATCCCATCATTACACACCACCTATATGTACTGAGATATCACACTGTCCCCCATACATAGGTTCAATTATTGTAAGGAGATAAAAAAATGTAAGGAGATAAAAAAAGAAAACTTAGCTTCTAAAGATTTTAGTTTTCAGAAGGAAAATAAATTAAAAAGTAAGATAGTCTTGTTTTAATTGTCCAGTAGACTAAAAACCCCCTCTCCTTGAGATGGAAACAAAGAAAGCTGTTTTGCAGGCCAGAATACCAAAGCCCCGTGACCACAAAGGGAAGACAAGCAGAAAGAGCAAGGATCTCAAGGGCATGAGGGTGCAGGCAGGTGGCATCCATGAAGAAAACTGAGGTGTGGGAGAGGAAATGCACCAAGTCACTCCCACTCACAATCATCTAGACAGGCCAGGTGGAAGACGCTTTCCCCTCGTACCATTCAAGAAAGATATGAGGTGGTGTGGAATCGGATGCTGGAAATGATGTTAAAATAGAAAACAGAAGCATTTGCATATCCAGAAAGAACACGTGGGCTGGAGGAGTGTCACCAGGTAGCTTTCTCTCTCAAAACATGATTTCTAAATCTGTAGCTAGTGCTATTTGGAACCAGGGTCACTCAACTACTTACCTCTATTTCCTCAAAATCAAAACAGCTCTTTCTATTGAGAGTCCTTCCAGGTGGAATCCTATCTTGCTCATCTGGTCTGCTTGGAGTCCACAGTTATCACTCCACAGGTAGCTCCCTATGCCATCTCTGACCTGGGCTGTAATAACAATGGCAGCAAGTCAGGGTTCATAGACCACGTGACTCAGTCCCCACCAGACGGAGGTTCCTCAACAGCTCAGATGGACAAAGTCATACCATCCACGGATCTGGTAGTGAGTGACAGGTCCCCAACTAGATTTCCACCTCCCCAATGTTTTCAGAAATTTTCCTTCTTATTTACATCCAGCTTATTTCTCACTTTCCTGAGTAATGAGTTGATGAGCATTGAGCATCATGTCCATGCTACCTAACAGAAGTCTCCAGATAAATAAGACACTCTCTGCTTCTAGTACCTGGCTGCCCTCTGAACATGACTGGGAGCATGACTTTTTTGAATTCCAATTGCTCTTCCTTTTCAGAGTTGAAGCCACCAAGAAGCAGAGCACACCAGCAGCTGTTGGGAAGCTGACTCCATCTCCACCTGAAATTGCTCTAGACACATGCCTTTCTGACTGCATTCTGTTGGATCTGAATGACAGCTGATCACTTAAGCTTGCATGTGAAATGAATACTTGAAGTCTGAGGCTTGGAAAAGTGCATGCTTTCTCCTTGTCTTGATGAACAATTCCCCTCTGGTGGATTCTTTTACGGACAGCTCGATGAGCACACAGAGGTGTAAAATGATATGAACCAGACTTTGTAATTTTTAGACTTTGTAATTGATCTATGGGACCCCAAGGTTTGAAATTAGCTGGAGCATCCTCTCTGCCAACAAATGAGAAAGATTGGGTGACTCATGTCCTTTGATCAGAGGGAGGCAATAAAACTGCCTTGTGTGGTGTGGTTCTCAGGGAAGGACTCATCTCTAGGATCAATACCAGGAAAGGCCTGTCAGTCATTGCTCAAACTGAGTCATAGTTCAGTTGCTCACCCTGGTCCAGCCCTGCTTCCCACTGGGGGTCTGCCTGCTCCTACAGGGCTGGCATATTTTTTGAATCCTCACCTAATTCACCATTTAAAATTCACTGTGTTCACCTTGGGCTCCCCTTCTGACCCAGGAGCAGGGTTGCTATCCAAAGGCCCTGTGACTTTGACTCCTGGAGTCCCAGGAAGAGAAATCTGTTTCCTTACAATGCTTTGCTCTTTCCTGTTGAGAAGTCACTGCTTTGTCACAAGGGAACCTGCTCCACTGTTCTCACTGGTCCTGCAGCCACCTCCCATGTGGACCTGGCTGGGTTTTTCCATTTACAGCTCATCTTCTCCTGTAGCTAGGGGACAGGGACTGTATGGCTGGACAGGTTTGCAGGTGGATTTTGCTTTGAAACAAGGACTGAGGTATTTTCCATGCTGAGGAATAAACCCAGGAGCTGTGCCACAGGATTTGGGTACCTTATTCTATATCTTTTAGAATTCAGTGTTAAGGGACAGGCTTTTGGGGTGATGTAGCAAGTAGTAATTGAAATCATAATGGTCTCAGCTTCATGCCAAGGGAAAATTCATAATCCTTAATCATGGAATAGAAAAATGATACTTCCTCAATGCCAGTCCCAAATGTAGATATTTTGCCCTTGTAATTAAAATGTTAATAGCAATAACGGGTGTGGAGATGCTCAGGAGGTGGCAAAAAATGATTAATCAAATCCAAATGTAACGTTGTATCCCCACTGTGGAAGTCTAGGACTTGGCAGATGCTGTGTACAACCCTGCCTTTCAGAAGAACCTTAAGTAGTTCCCCAAGAATCACAGATTCTGCCTGGGCTTTGCTTAAACACGAGGTGCAAATATTACTTGTGTGTTATCTTTTTTTGCTGTAAAAGATTAATCCTGTGTGTGTGACTATTTCACAACAATTTCAATTGAATGAGTTGATGCAAGAAGGTGACCTCCTGTTGGAAGTAGAGGTCAATTTGTTGGCAATTTGACCATGTCCCAACTCAAGCTCTCTGCTCCCAACCTGGGCTTTCTGTTACCCAAGCCCTGAGAATTTGTCTCATGTAATTTTCCTTTTTTTTTTTTTAAGATTGTATAAAATGAGAAGTTAAATTTGGTTCCAGTTACTCCACAAAGACCAGATAATCTCAAACACAAATCATCTACTTGGAAAATCTGTTGAGTCCTCTTTCATTCACTTATCACCTATTTACAAAGTGCTTGGGTGAAGGCTCAGAGGGGATCCAACCACACACACACTTCCCTGAGGACTAGGAGGCTGCTGCTGGTTGGTGGGAGGAGCTTCCCCTTGCTCACCGCTTCTTTCCTGCCCCACCTTCTGTTCCATGTCTGTCCATACTAATATGGTGGCAAATGTCCTGAAACCCATAGAAAATATACGGTACATTGTTGGTGTGTTTTTTATATAAATCATGGTGCTTGGACTCTTGTCCTATTTCTAAAATATTTAACTTGGTACCAATTTGAGATCTATCCATGCCATATATACTCCTCTGTGATTGTTCAGGCTGACCAGATGTACTGACATCTAAAATACGGTCTTCGTCCACTGAAGGACCATGGTCATGCAGTAACATGAGGAAGGGATAATCAGGGCAGAACTTGAGGCAATGGCCCTGATCCCAGGGCAGGCCTGGATACTTGCTTTTCTTTCTCTCTCTCTCTTTTTTCCCTTCCCTCCCTCCTTACTTCTTGTGTTGGTGCTAGGGTCAAACCAGAGCTTTGCATACACTAAGCAGGTGCTCTGCCTCTGAGCTGCACCTCAGCCCCTGGACTCCTGCTTTTCATCCTTCAATACGCAGCTGTCTTTGGTCAGAAGCACTGTCACCCCTTGTCCCCATGCACATACATCTTCATTCATAGTATCCTCTCTTCCCACATCTAAACATCTCAGCTGAACACATGACAGGTCTCCAATGCAGAGAACCCTGACCTCCTTTTTCATTACTGTTCCCCTGAAAAGCCTCAGAACATTTCTTAATCAGCTCATGTATCATTTAGATAAAACAGATACACAGGATACCTGTTGCAGACACATATATATACCAGGGCTGCATACCTAGGAAATGTAAGAGTTCTCACGTCCAAGGAGGCACAGTCCCTTAAAAGTGCAAGATTGCAAGCAGCTTTTGCATTTGTGTGGGCAGTGCTAGGAGGAGCTTTCCCCCTGCTGACCTGAGCATCTCACAGGCTCAGCCAGCAAGTCTCTTCCCTCATCCACCAGAACCTCTTCCTACCTCATGGGAAATTCAAGGCTTCCAGCCCTGACCGGCTCTCTGTAACTCCTCATTCTGCTCCCCATGTATACCTTGGACAGAAGCTATTCCTGTGACTGTGATGTCTTCCTGCTAGAACATGAGAATTTCAAGGGACGGCACTTTAGTTATTACTCTAGTCTCTCTGCTTAGCAAAGACTTACTGAATGTTTTCAGAAAGATTTAGCTGCACATAAATATCAAGCTCATCCGATAGGAACCAGGGGACAATCAGCACTGACCTTCCAAAGGGACAATTTCCAAGTCATCATTATGATGATAAGGTCTTTCATGCCATGCAATTAACCACACACACAAGCATGCGGATATCAGCACTGAGCAGCACATCCACTGTCAGGCTACATGTTTGATGATTGCAACCATCAAATCACCACAGCTTAAGTCAAAGCCACAGACCATTTCTCTTTGTAAAGGGACAATAAAGGAAAGAAAAGTGAAACCAAAACTGAACCCTAGGAATGCAGTGGGACTGATCCAGTCCTCAAAATGTGCTGCCTCACAGTGGAGAGCCACAATCGAATCTGTGTCTGCGAATGCAAAGAAGAGGCAAACCACGGGGTGCATCTGGATCATCTGAAACTACAGGACAGATATCCTCTATAACTTCAGAGCTGAGATAGGATAAGGTGGTTCATGCCTATAATCCCAGTGGCTTGGGAGGCTGAGGCAGAAGGATTGCTGCTGCAGTCTGGCTGGGCACAATTCAGGAGCCACTTGTCAAAAGAAATGAACTTTATTTTTAGAACACACACACCACACCACACAGTTCCTCAGGAAAAACCCTCAGAGCCCAACTGCCACAACCGGCTTCCCACAAGCCTCTCAACCTCCCCCACTCCTCCTGCTCTTGAGGCTGATTGGCAGGGTCCCATGGGCAGAGCCAAAAAAAGTCCCCCAATGAGCAGCTCTGTGGTCTGAAAGGGCAGGGAAACAGCCCAATGAGCATCACCTCAGAGGAGCCAATCAGTTGGCAGCTAAAAGTTTGCTGGGGCCGCTGTGAGCCAATCATCAGCTGGCAGCTGGAAGTTTGCTGGCAGCTGGAAGTTTGCTGGGGCCCCTTTGGCTGTGGCTCTCACAGATTGCAAGTTCAAAGCCAGCCTCAGCAAAAGCAAGGTGCTAAGCAACTCAGTGAGACCCTGTCTCTAAATAAAATAAGGCTGGGGGTGTGGCTCAGTGGACAAGTGCCCCTGAGTTCAATCCCTAGTACCCCCCATCCCCCCTCAAAAAAAAAGAAAGAAATGAGATAATACTAGCTTCTCTGTGGTCTCTAGGTAAGGAAACAGAAGCCCACCCCATCAACTGCAGACATTGAACTTAAGCTCATCTCTCTCCATGCTACAGCGGCCTAAACCCCCCAACACCATCCCTCAAGTCTACTTCTCTCTTCAAAAATTGACACAATTCTCCCTGAAAGGCGCTCTTCTCACTCAATGACAATTAGGAATACCAATGTGTTTTTGAGAGCTGCTGGAGGGGGAGAGGCAGAGAGGAGATTAAAACACATCTGTTTTCCTCATAACACTCAGACTTTATTTTGGAAATCCCATTAAAAATTCAAGTAAACATAAAGCCTTGAGTAATTATAATTTCCAACATTTACTAGGACCTAATTATTTGTCAAGCCCAGTGCTGGGAATCTTCAGAGATTTTCTTGTTTAGTTCCCACTGCAATGCTGAGAGGCGGGGGTTCTTACCCCCTTGCACAGGTAAGGAAAGGGGGCCTCCTGAGCAAGCCCAGGGTCACCCAGAAGTAGCTGGGAGGAAGGAGAGGTCTCAACCTGGTTCAACTTACAAGCCTCTAATTCTTTGTCAATCAGAGATCTGCTGAGAGACCCACAATCACTGTACAGAGCCTCGAGGACTTTCCCACAAATATGCTTCTCATTTCCTTCTCTCCTTTCCTACAGGAGTCCCTTTCTCCTCCCCAACTGCAACAGCTCCCCCGCTCTTCTTACCTCCGATGGGAAAGGTGATTCCTCACACTTCTCTCCCTGGCCCATCGCTTTGGCCCATGCAAGGTGTCTTTGCCTCATGTCACATTCTTTCACTCAGATCCTTACTCAACATCTCAACATCCATGCCAGTCCCACTCAGGACCCCGGCCCTGTCAACACTCAGTCTTGTTGGGTTTGGATGTGCCCCACATCTCCCTTGTTCCAACGGAGCCTTGTTGTCCTCTGAGTGGTTCATTTCCTGAGTGCTTGCTGTTTTGTCTTGAGTTGATCACGTGTCTTCTGTGGGCAGGCGTCTGGGAGTGTAGGTGGTTTTCCATGCATCAATGGTTGATGTCACTCCCCACCCTCTGCCCTTTGTTAAACTCCTCCTTTGGTTCCTTTGGAAAAATCAGTTGTTCTATCCATTTGAACTTCCTGAAAGGCCAGGTTTTGCAGTCCTGGGATAGATGGCTGCTTTACTCCTGGGAATAACAGGGACAAAATCTCAAGAACTGAAACTGGCTTGCGATGACTGAGGATGCAGACGGAGGGAGGGGGGCAGATCGCACAGAGTCCTACTACAGGGTCTGGGTTTCCCCTGCAGAGGCCACAGCAATGTCACAGTTCATCGCTATGTTAACATGAGGACAGCCTTGTGGACTCAGGGTGGAGAAGACATAAGCCTGGACAGGAGGGGGTGTGCCCACCATGGCCATTGCCATAGTCCAGGGAAGAGAGGAGGAGAGCCTGGGGTTTTGTGAGGGAGGAGGCAATGGATACCAATGAACACATCAGTGGACGGCTGGGAAGTGGAATGAATTGGGCTTGCTATTTGGTTAGGAAGGAAAGGAAGGAGAGAGAAAGATTTACAACAGTTTCTGCATTGCTCTCAGTGCCAGCTGTGTGGTTGCCTCTGTGCACGGCGGCTACGGTGAGGAGACTGTTTGTGGAGAGATGGAGAGCCCCGCCCCGCCTGATTGCTGAACACCTCCAAGTGGCCACTCAGCAGGGGTGGCCACCTGTCTGAAGACAAGAAGGGTTTAAGGTGAAGATGCAGAAAAAAAGAACCATCACCAGTTTGCCTGCATCTGAGGCCTCAGGGCCCTGTGAGCTCAGGAGGCCAAGCAGGTGAAAACGCACTTCTCCACACTCTTATTTAAAAATGTTTGCTCTTCAGCTACATTGGGATTCCAAGATCCTAGATCTTGTATAGGGGCAAGGAAGATTGTTAAGGTTTGAATGGGGCATCCCCCAAAAGCCCATGTGTAAGATGGTACATGAAGGCTTAGAGGTGAAATGGTTGGTTTTGGAACATTGTAACCTAAGCAGTGCATTAATCCACTGATAGGGACTAGCTGGCTGGTAGCTGTAGCCAGTGGGGTGTGGCTGGAGGAGGTGCATCACTGGGGAATGTGCCTTTGAGTATACATTTTGTACCTAGTGAGAGCTCTCTCTCTCTCTCTCTCTCTCTCTCTCTCTCTCTCTCTCTCTCTCTCTCTCTCTC